CTTTCTTTTTTTTTTTTTTTTTTTTTTTCCCCTTCGCTTTCGAGATTTATTCGGCGTGACTATTAAAAACACAGCAGGAAAGAACAAAAAAAGCTCTACCTGCTGCAGCTTCTTCAGAAATCAGTGGATCAAATCTGTGACAGCGACTTCTCCTCAAGGAGAAATGCTCAGGACTTTCCCTTTGGGGAGTGTGGAGAGAGAACATTTGCAGCCGTGAATTAGGCAGGGCTAAAAGAGAAAGAGTGGGAAATCTCACTTTTCCCTTTATTCCTCACTCCTGGGTGGCTGCGTGTGCGCTAAAACACTGCAAAACCCGCGCACTTTCCTCAATTCCTGAGAAATCCCTGCGATTTGCTCGCCCCGAGCCATAATCCCACCTAACCCCAGCGCTTCTCTTGATCTTAATTAAAGCCCCGATAAGAGCAGGAGGCTTTCGGTCTGCTTCGTTCTGGCTGTACTCACAGCCGCTATTTGTCGGGTTTCACCTTCCAAGGCGATGCCGGCGCAGGACACCGCAGCGCGGAAGGGACCTGTGGCTGCCGCACATTCGGGCCGTGCGCTGCTCCGCGGTGCCCTCGGGCCGGGTTCTGCCTCCCGGTGATGCCAGCTCTGTTCCCGGCGCAGCCCTTTCCCCATCGCAGCCCCACGGTGCCCACAGAACAGCGCGTCGTGTTGCACAGGGCTCACATTTGGTGCCGTTCCCTTAAGGATCGAAGCAGAGCTAAAGGGATCACCGGCCTGAACCCGACTCACTGAAATGGTAATATGGTCGTCCTTAAAAAAAAAAAAGAAAAGAAAAAAAAAAAAAAGTGTAGGTATTTTCTGGTGTTTTCCCATCAAGTACCTGCCCAACTTCTGTATGGCACACGCCGGGGATCAATAGAAGTTAACAAGTCCTCCAAACATTCCCCATCTCTTTGTTTAATCGCCTTTACAATAAAGCCGAGGGGAGAGAATTAAAAATCTTTGAAGTATATTAAACCTCAAAGGGCTCAGCCAAGTAGACTTAAAATAGTCACTTATTTTCCAAAACTGGTTTGTCGGGGAACAATAAAAGGAAGCAAAATTTATGGGGAAATTATACAGTGGATTTGTCACTTAAAATATCGTAACTGTCGCGGGGACAATACCCCATGCTGAGGATTAATGGTCCCTCCAGACCTTTGATTCATCAGCGCCTTTTCTTTGCCCTTGACAAATTGGATTTTTAGGAATGGGAAGGTCGCCCGGCCCATTGTTCGCCGCCCATTCACAGCGCCTGATTATGCGGGAGGGTGAGGGAACGGCTCCATGTGACCCTCGCGGATGGGACCCGCAGCTGCTCGAGGAGCCGACTCTCTCACCGCGGCCCCGCAGCACCCGCCCGCCGCGGGGTCCCCCTCCTGCGCCCATTCAAAAGCCGCCCCGCACGCGCGGCCGCGTCACTCTGCGGGCGGAGATACGCCGCGCTCGTCCTCCTCGGCCCCGGCCCCGCCGCCCCGTTAAGTGCTCGGGGTCCCCAGCGCTCGGCCCCACAGGCAGCGATGCACGCGAGCCGGGCTCCGGCCATCAGCGTGAGCGCCGAGAGCTGCATCCCCGCCGGGCTGCGCCTGGGGCCCGTGCCGGGCATCTTCAAACTGGGCAAGTACCTGTCCGACCGCCGGGAGCCGGGACCCAAGAAAAAGGTATTTCCCTCCCGTCTGCCGCACCACCGGACCTCGCTTTGCGCTCAGCTTGGGAGAAGAAGCTGCTTTCCCTTCTCGCTTGCCGCTCCGCTGCCCGGACTCCCTTACCCCTTACTCCTTACCCCTTACCCCTTACTCCTTACCTCTTACCCCTTACCCCTTACTCCTTACACCTTTACCCCTTAGCCCTCACCCGGCTTCGGAGCCGCTCGGTGTCCGCCCCGTCCCGTGGAACTGCGCTCCCCGGAGCCCACGGCATACAGCAGGGAGCGGGGAAGGTCAGGTGCCCAGCAGCAGCGCTCAGAACCGCCCGGTGCGGACCCCGAGCTCGAACCTACGGGGAATGCTCGTCTGCGGGGCTGTGGGTGCGGGCGGAAAGCCCAGACCGCCTCCCACCCCTGCGCGTTCCGCTCGGGTTTTTAATGTCCTTTAATTGTTTTTAAACGCCCTGCCAGCCCGCTCAAATTTATTTCTCATCTGGCTCCCTCAGTTCGTCGCTCTAGAGCGCTTTGTTCCGATGACTTTTATTGCACGGTCATTCGGCGGATGGGCACTTTATTTTCCCTTTGTACGAGTAAGCAGGTTATGAAGGATGGCTCTGCCGGGACCTCGGCGCTGCGCAGCACCCGCTCCCCTCTCCCTCTGCCCCTTCCCCGCCCCCGTGCCTTGCGCGTTCTCTCTGTGTGGACCCAGGGGCTGCACAGATTC